CCCCTCCAGGTCGGCAGGACTGCAGCTTCTCTCACGCCTGCCCCGGCTTCTGACCTCATACACCACCCTGAGACCTGTCATTACATGGGCCGCCCACACAGTCCAGGATAATCGTTCCCCTCCAGATCCTCAGCTGAGGCCATCTGCAGAGCCGCTTTCGCCATAAAAGGCCACACATTTGATCAATACGGTGGCCAAAAAATCAACAGGAAATCCTGGGGAGCAGTGGTTGCTAAACAGAATCCAGCAAAGGGAGCCAAGCACGGTGGCACACACCTGTAATCCCAGCACTCAGGAGGCTGAGGCAGGAAGATCGTTATGAGTTTGAGACCAGCCTGGGATACAAAGTGAGCTGAAGGCCAGCCTGAACTGCATGGCAAGACTTTGTCTCAAAAAGACAAAAAACAAAACAAAACAAAACAAAGAATCCAGCAAGGGGAAGCAATGAGGGTAGGGACAGCATCTTCCCACAGCTTCTTCACCAATCAGTTGAGGGTTCCTTTGCTCAATTCAGATAGAAATGACACAATAGCACAGTGCAGCTCTGCTACATCACTGGGGCAGCGGCTGGTCCCTGGAGCTCTTCAGGGTCAACAGCCCCTACTGTCTATAGTTTTTTAAGTGGCTGCTCTGTCCATACTACTCAAGATTTCCAGGACCTTCTGAGCCACAACTACCAGAGAAATAACACACAAGGGATCAACAGCCCTACCAGAAGCAGGCTACAGAGGTCACTGGAGAAGGCTCTCCCACACCAGCCCACAAAGTGCAAGAGGAGTGCTGCTCCACCACAGCCTGCGACTGGTCCACATTCCAGTCTGTGATTGGTCCAAATTGGTCTAAACTAAAAGCTTACCAATCTGAGCCTATTGGTTGCTCCAAGTTCAATTTTACTGCTGGGTTCAAATTCCAAGGCAATGAGGTCAGGACTGACACCTCCAAGAGTCAGGGTTAGAGGATTCCAGGATGCTGTAGCATTACAGCAGAAAAATGAAAAGGCTGAACTCTATTCTAGAAAATTCACATAAATGGACTCACACAACATATGGTCTTTTAAGAGAGATTGAGAGGCCCTGGAGGGAGGGCCCCCGGCGCACGGGGAGCCATGTGGCTGAGAGCGCTGTGGCGCGCCAGCCTTCAGGCTGGCCGCTACTGCTCAGTTGAGAACTATCATGACACAAAGAAACAATGACACAATTGGCCCACCATGCACCAGCTGCAGATGCCCACCTAAGGA